CCATCAACTCAGTCGGCATATCTGGCCATCTAGGATGAGGATAAGTAGACGGAACCGGAGGAACCGGTCTACCCCCACCTCTAGATGTACCAGCCCTACTAGTAGAAGGGGCGTCTACAGCCCGAGGATGACATACCGGCAGGCCTCGTCATCGGGGTGCGAGCTCCCGTCAATGGAGGCATCAAATATATGTGACGGTAAGTGGCGTAGTCCCCCTCCTCAAGATATAGTAAAGCATCGCTACCCAGCATAGCGCCGACTACCTCTGAGTAAGAGAGCCTGTCAGCAGTCCGCATACTGACTGGGGGGACTGCGGGAGGATCCTGAGAAAGATACCCCCATGCCTGACGCAGAAAGCGTTCCCCCAGGAACCATGCCCTGCCAACCGGCCCTTCGAGCAGGACCCTATACTGGGAGATGCCCGACCCTCCGGTATACTGAAGTCGGAGACCATCACCCAGGGGCGCCCAAGGCTGCCATGAGATCTGCGGATGATAAATGCATAAACCAATCAGAAATCGGGAATATACAGAGCAAATCAAAGATTGAAAATGAAAGGAACTGAAAGTTCTAAAGTACCTCCAAATGCCGCACAGTGTCAAAGTACTGTCGCAGGTAAATGAGGGTCTCTCGGGGTCTCGGCCGGTGTGGGCCCTCGAACACTAGTGAGTATAGGGTCATGGGAACCCCTGCCACCTCCAACTCTGGAGCTAATGCCGGGAAGTATACATAGACCCATAGCTGAGAAAAGCAGTGCAGAATGTAAGTACAAAGTGCTGAGAACAAAATACAGACTGTAAAAATGCGCTGTGTGTGCAATGTACAAGTAATGAAAAGCAGAAATGTAAATCAAGGGGACAAAAAAGTACCTCCCAGGCTCTCCTGTCAAAGTACTGTCGCAGGTAAATGAGAGTCTCTCGGGGTTTTGGCCGGTGCGGGCCCTCGAACGCTAGTGAGTATGGGGTCATGGGAAGCCCTGCCACTTCCAACTCTGGGGCCAATGCTGGGAAGTATACATAGACCCATAGCTGAGAAAAGCAGTGCAGAATGCAAGTACGAAATGCTGAGAGCAAAATACAGACTGTAAAAGTGCGCTGTGAGTGCAATGTACAAGTAATGAAAAGCAGAAATGTAAATCAAGGGGACAGAAAAGTACCTCCCAGGCTCTCCAGTAGCCGCCAAGTAAATCTCCCCGCCTGCGGGAGGTCGCGCTCATATAAAAGTAAAGGGTAGCCAGGCCGGCGCCACCCCAGTCATATCGATGGACCTGTGATAGGTCAACCAGAGCACTCAGCAGGTATAGCCCGACTGTGTTCCCTCTATCGGCGAACAGGGTAGTCCCGAAGAGGAACATAAGGAAACCACGGGCGTACTGCTCCGTCTCCTCAGGAGTCTCGGGCACCATCTCCGCCCGCCGAAAGTGGGAAGAGAACCAAGTGTATCGGACTCTCCCAGAAACCCTGTCAACAGGCGGGCGAGCCCCCAATAGATACATCCAAGCGGCCTCCCACTCGCCCATATCCTCATCATAGGGGATGGGCCAACCTCCTATGTCCAAGCCAGTCAATACAGCGAAGTCTAGAGGCGTCATGGTCATGTCCCCGGTAGCAGAGAAATGAAAGGAGTTGGTGGTGTCCCACCATCTCTCTACCAAGGCTGCCATCAGAGTCCTCCTGGCAGGGCAACGGGACAACCCAACGCAGAACGCCCCGAATCCTGCCAAGTCTATCAAATCTCGGACATCCTCCGGGAGCTCAGCGTACCAGTCCTGCGCGGCGGTGGAACCATACCCCCGTACGCTGCGGGAACCAACCTGCATTCAGAATGAATACATGTGTCAATAATGAAATGAAATGGGCTGCATGCCAATGAAATTAACTGGGCTGCGTGCCAATGGAATGGAATGGGCTGTGTGCCAATGAAGTGAAATAAGCTACATGCAAATTTAATCTGGGCTGCGTGTTTCAGAAAATTTAAAGTTGGGCTGCGTGTTCAACTTTTCAACTAGTGGTGGGCTGCGTGTTCACTATCAATCTGGGCTGCGTGTTCAGAAAATTCAAAGTTTGGGCTGCGTGTTCAACTTTCAACTACTTGTGGGTTTTTGTTATCTGATCATTTTCATGGCTTCTTCAATGCTTAACGGAGCTGAAAATCTCACACTCACTAGAAGAATACCCCCAAATGGGTTAGGCTTTGTTGGGTCAGATTTGCACGGGAAGCATTTTCCCAAGATTGGTGTGGTAAACTTTGGTACAAATTTTTGGGCTAGAACTAAAACCCTAGCACCACTCAAGTGCAGTCTTTCGGGATCTAGGCCGGCTTCACAGCCTAGGTTTATACAGCACAAGAAAGAGGCATTTTGGTTCTATAGGTTTTTATCGATTGTGTATGACCATGTCATAAACCCTGGGCATTGGACTGAGGATATGAGAGATGAGGCACTCGAGCCCGCGGACCTAAGCGATCGGAACATGATTGTGGTGGATGTCGGCGGAGGAACAGGGTTCACTACATTGGGTATTGTTAAACATGTGGATGCCAAAAATGTAACCATTTTGGATCAATCGCCTCACCAGCTTGCCAAGGCAAAGCAGAAGGAGCCCTTGAAGGAATGCAAGATTATTGAGGGTGATGCAGAGGATCTCCCATTCCGTACTGATTATGCGGATAGATATGTATCTGCTGGGAGGTATATATTGCTGTGCTTAATCTTCATTTGATTTTTTTGCTGCCCTTTATTTCGATCACATCGCATACAGTGTTGAGTTGGCATCTTGATTCTGGTTATGCAGGACTTTTTTGGCATTTGAATGTGAATCTATTGCCATTCTTGAGCTAGATTTAAATTATATTGATTTGTTTGAGAAATATTGTAATGTGTAGTTTGTGGGAGATTTCATTGAATCTGTTTGGAATTATATCTGAACTAGTTGTAAATTACACACATGTTCTAGTTTTGCATGGCACATTTTGTGCATGTAGAAAAGTAGATAAATAAACAACATAGAAGCAGAAGAAACTATGTGAAATCAATTAGAAAAAATGTTGGATATTTAGATGTCATGTAATGTGGCAAATATTGTTTTTTTAAAATACATAATGGTTAAATTTTAGGTATGTACATGATGGTCCTAATGGTATGAGGGCAGCCACTTTGTATATAATGGTCAAAGGTTAGGTATGAACCTAGTCTACTCCTCCCAGGCCCGCATTAATGGGAATTGGGGACTAAATTGAGTGTACTTTTCTCAAACCAAAAGTCTATGTGTGAGCATTTGGTGTTTCGATGTATGATTGAATGAACTTAGAAGGACAAACATAACTAGCAAGGTAGATGTGCAAATTGATATGGTTGGAGGAAAGACATGCAAAGTAGCAAGGTAGGTGTCTCGAAGTGTATCCTTTTTGAATGAGTCGTAACCTTTCAAAGAAGCAGATCGGAGGCCGTGATCGAGTTACCTTTGCCGAAACACGTTTTTCCGTACTCGTTGTTTCACGGCAAATGAACACCCTGATTCATACTCATTTTGTACTATCATGCACATTATCTTGCATTCTCATGGGCATACTCACATTGTCATGTACATTTCTTGATATTGGCATACCTCCGTGTTTGAGCATATGTTGTCACGCATGTTCCGTTCTTGCATTGCGATACATTCACTCACCGGCACTGCGTGTGTCGAACTTTCGAAATCGCATTAAATATTTGTTGTTAGCATATTGTACTTGTTGCAATTTCTCTCTTTTGCAGGCACGATATTGTATGTACGGTTCAATTGAGGCTGGTGCGACCAGACGAATTGCGCAGGTATCGTATCTTCTCCGTGTGAGACGTGGCAGGGATTGAATAATCCTCCGCATTCTTAACTGTATGAAATGTAGTTGTTCCTTTGCATTCTTGCTTAAAACTATTGCATCTATTTGTGAATACTTGCTTCATTACAGCTTGCTGCATTTGCATGATCATTGAGTTATGTTGGGCTTCTTGCATATCGCTTTGCATTTTGCCCCCCCTGCCTGCGGGCATATCTCTGTTTACTTTGTACGTTTGTCTAAGTCTTCGGCCTTGTCAAAAATGGGTCGTCTCTAGGCTTTAACATTCACTCCCATCACTTGTGACTTCCGAGTTCTGTCAAAGAGGGGCAACTGTAGACACCCCATTTTTGACCGACCTTAAGACTCAGACGTCACTGATTGAGCGCTTGGTGATGTTGCATAATGTGCTCGTTCAGAAGTTTCAGAGTCGCGGCCGTGAGCCCTACCTCCGGACTTCCGAACCCTCTTTTGCGCTTTGCCTCGGTTTGCGAACCAAGCTCGGTTTTCGCTGTTCCTTTTTCTGAGGGGAGGGAGAGGTCCCGTAGACCATCTCTCAGTGGTCGTAGGTTACATTTTGTGGCCGCAGGCCATTTTGCCCATTTCGGAGTCCGGTTCCCGGTTTTCGGAGCCGTCAGGCCGTGTGCCTCGGTTCGGGACCGCCTAACCATCTCCTATTGCTCCGGTTTTTGGCATACTTCCTATTTTCTTCCTTTTGAGGGACACTGGGGTCTGAGAAACCCACTTCGTGCCGAATGCCACTTTCGGTGCTTAACAGCCCATTTTCGGGACCCCGAACTACGTGTTTTGGCCCCCGAACATTCATTTTGCAACGGTTTTCGTTCATTTTTGGCAGGTACCTCTGTTTTATCACTAAGAAGGTCACTGAAGGGTGGGAGGCCAGTAATTGTTGCAGCAACCAATTATACATCCTCTGACGCCCTCCGGCGCCCGTTTTTCACACTTCCGGGCTAATGTTGAACACCTTGGGGTCACATTCTTGAACTTTGAACCACATATTTGTGATGTACACACATGGGAGGACCCTAAAAAATGGTGGCCGGCCACTAATGTTGCTTGACCCTTTTGAACCCCTCTTTCCGGGCTAATGTTGAACCCCTTGGACCCACATTCTTGAACTTTGAACCACATATTTGTGATGTATACACATGGGAGGATCCTAAAATATGGTGGTCGGCCACTAAATCTGCTTGACCCTTTTGACCCCTAGCCGGCCGGCTAGGGGGTGTGGCCGACCGGCCACCTGCAACCAAAGTAACTGGCCGGCCGAGATCCTTGCACTGTTCACTTTATAGTTGTAGAGCTTTATCCCCCAGAAAATATCAATATCCGGGGGATATTTTGTGGGGGAAAGTTGCCCTCCTTTTCCCCCACCTTTACACCCCCTTTTTGGCCCTTATAACCAGCAAGCTATATCACATTCAAGGGTTGGAAAAATTGTTCTTCAAGTCTCAAGATCCACATCTCCCTCCATCCTTCTCATTTTCCTAAAAAACCTTAAGTCCTATACCTTGTGTTCTTCATCACCACCAAGCTCTACCATCACCACTTCATTTCCAGCAACAAGGAAGGCTTCTCAAAGGCTCAAGGAGCTGCAAATTGGTCCAAGAAGCAACAAAAGATTTAGTCTTCAAGGGTGAGTAACATTTCTCCTCTTTTGACCTTTTTTCTTGATCCATTTGTAAGCCCTATATGCTTTTTGTTTCAAGCTCTGGCCCTAACTAAAAGTGGCCCTCTTTTGAGCTCATTTTCACTTTTC